ATATATTACATTAATTATAATGTAATGTACTTATAAGTGGGATCATAAAGTATTTTTCCTTTGTGATTGACTTACTGCACTCAGCATAATATTTTCAAGGTTCATCTATGTAACGTATCAAAATTGCTTTTCTTATTATAGTTGAGTGATATTTCATTGTATGTATAGACTACATTTTGTTTATCCATTTGTCCGTTAATGGGCATCTAGGTTGTTCCTACTTTTTAGCTATTGTGAACAGTGCTGCAGTGAACATTGGTGGCTAGGTTTCTTTTTGCATTCTTGTTTTCAGTTTTTTTGGGTATGTGTACCTAGGATTGGGATTGCTGGGTCGTATAGTAGCTCTGTGTTTACCTTTTTGAGGAACCATTAAATGGTTATCCACAGCAGCTGCACCATTTTGGATTCCTACCAGCAATTTTTTATAGCCTCACCTACACTTGTTATTTTCTGTTTTCTTTTTTAAGCATAGCCATTCTAGTGGGGTGAGGCGATATCATTCACTTTTCTTAAAAGTCTATATGAGTATGCTATTTCAAAACACTAGTCCTTTAGCTTCCAGGACATATCTTGACTTTCTTGTGATTGTGTTTTAAATCATTCTGATTGAAGCTTTTTTTAAAAAAATAGGACCATGATATTCCATTCTTCCCCCACTAATGATTTCTACTTCAATATACCTATTCCTCACTTAACAACTGTGTTATTATTCAATATTTCTCATTTATGACACAAGTAAAAGAAATCTACTATCTGACTATTTTGCACATTAATGACATAGATCTGGCAGTAACAAATGCTGAGGAGTGAAGTGAAAGTAACTATGGCTGTGATGGTTAAAGTTATGCATCAACTTGGCTGGGCCATGATTCTCAGTGATTTGGCAGTTAAGTAGTGATGTGATTTGGCAGTTATTTAATGATGTACTGTTCATCCTCTATTTTGTGATCCTGTGTGGTCATCTTTCATTTTGACATAATGCCAATTTTTGCATAATGGCCTAGTTTTTGGAACCTAACCATGTTAATAAGTGAGGAGTAGGAGTGTAAACAGTTTTTAAAAATTTAATTTCTCAACTTTCTAGACTTTCTAGTCCAATTCACTGATCTATTTTTAAGTCATCTACTTGGAAGGAAGGTTGGGCAATCTACGTCTGTAGTGATACTGCCTTGGAAACCCAAGGAGGAGTCGCTGTGAGTTGGGTCTGACTCAACGGCACATAACAACAACAACAACAACTACTACTATTTCAGTTATGGTAGCTTTTTAATGCCTTTTTATCATTTGGAAGGGCAGGTTGCCTCTCACCACTCTTTTCACAATGTTTCATGCTATTTTCACAGATTTATTCTTTTCATGTTTTACATCTATTGTCATCTGTATTCTTTTATTTTCCTTCTGCTTATTCCTTGATTTGTTTTTTGATTGTTTTCTTTAGACTTTTCATTCTCCTCTCTTTTCTTTCTGTTTCAGTTCCTCAGTGCTTCATTTTTCTTATCTGCCCCTCTTCCTAAGCTTCTTTTGTATGCCATAATATCATATCAACTAGCAAATATCAAATAGCCCCATCCTGCTTTATATTTATTACTGCAAAGTGGCTTCCCTTCACAACTCCACTGTCTGTACATTAACTACTACTCCATTGTTGTTGTTGTTATGTGCCGTTGAGTTGGACCCAACTCATAGCGACCCCTCCTTGGGTTTCCATGGCAGTATCACTACAGAAGTATATTGCCCCATCTTCCTTCCGAGGAGTGGCTGGTGGGTTTGAACTGCCAGCCTTCTGGTTAGCAGTCAAGTGCCTTAGCCACTGTGCTACCAAAGCTCCTTTAGACACCGGTAATTAAAACCCCTAAGGCATGTTTGCTTTAACCCTTTTTTCCATTCTCCAGTCATACCCTGAATCCCCCTGATACTTTTTCATAAACTGTCTCTTCCCTTTTCTTCTTGTTTCTATAATTCCTAGTAATACCATATTCCAGATAACTCTTCATACATAAATTGTTGAAACTCTTTTCTTACTGGCCGTTCCCTATCCAATTTATTTCATATATGACTGTGAGCTTCATCTAATATAAAAACTGTGGAAATGCTAATTTTTAACTTAGAGTTTTATTCATTCACTTATCAGTCAGTCAATAAATATTTGAGTGCCCATTATATGCTAACCAAACTTACTCATGCTGAGCATGTGAAAGTGAACAAAGCAGCATGTCCTAGTCGCTGACCTAATTTAGAAGCTTACATTCTAATGTTGATAGGAGACAGGAGAGAAGGAGATGACGTGGAAGTAAAGAAGGTAATTTTGGATCATGATAGATGCTATGATGTGATAGAGTACAGGGGTACAGTGTGAGTACTGATTTACATCGAGTGGTCAGGGAGAGTTATCTAGGTAAGTTATATTTGAGCTGAGACATGAGGGCAGCTGGGAGCAGCCAGGTTGGGAAAGATACAAGAAAATACTGGGATACATTTTAATGAGTGGGAGGCTTCCTATGCCTCCCCCAAATAGTAAGTGGGATAGTCTTTAACCATTTTTTACAGATTTTAAGATTAAAGTAGCATCTCAGTCATCTTGAGGAGGAGAGATATTATTCACAAATAGGGCTGGAAACAGTAGTTGCTGTATATGATGCATGTTATTTTTTGCTTGGTTGACTGTTTCAGTGAGACCAGTCAAAAAGGAACAGGAATTTGTAGCAAAATGAAACTGATTGATATAGATGGAAAAAGGAAAACATCTATTATTGGGGTGATTTTTCCTGTCATAGTTCAGATTCCTTAATCTGTAGATCCTATTCTCTAGTCAAGGGCACAGGCAATTTGTTTTGACTCATTGATTTCTGCAGATTTCCAAACGATCTGCTTTTTGGGAGTACTGACCTAATGAGGTCAAATTTCCATGTTTAATGGCTAGGGATAAAATTGCAACCCCATCCTGACCTCTCAAGGAACTCTGGTGGCACAGTGCCTAAGACATTTGACTGCTCACCAGAAGAAGGCTGGCGGTTCAAACCCAGCAGCCACTCTGTAGAAGGAAGACTGGGCACTCTACTTCCGTAAAGATTTACTGCCTTGGAAACCCAAAGGGGGTTGCTGTGAGTTGGAATTGATTGATGGCGCTGAGTTTGGTTTGGTTTTGGTATCCTGACCTTTCAGGCACCACGCACTGGTCATAGGGATAAGGGGCAGAACTGGTCCATGGGCTCCTGGGTCTGGCTAAGTCAGACTAGTGTTAAAAAGATAAGAAAAAGAATTAATTAGAAACAAAGACACATTGGCTTAGCATACAGCATTGTTGTTTGGCATGGAGTCCACCCTCGACCCATGCTGACCCTGTGCACAGTGGAGTTAAATGCTGCTGGTCCTGTGCCATCCCCATGCAGATCTGACAGTATTTTATTGTGATCCATAGCTTTTTTCACTGGCTGTTTTTCAAAAGCAGATTGCCATGCCTTTCTTCCAAGTCTGTCTTAGTCTAGAAGCCCCACTGAAACCTATTCAGCGTCATAGTAACAGGCAGGCCTCCACTGAGAGGTATTACTGATTGTGCATGTAGTGTGCCGGACGGGAATCAAACCTGAGTGTCCTGCACGGAAGGCAAAGATTCTACCACTAAACCACCTTGGATTAGCTGTGCTCTTTTTTAGAAATCTCCATCTTCTTTGCTAAGTTTTTAGTTTTGGCCTGTGAGAATCTGAAGTTGCACTGAACATTTGAGTTCCTTTAGACACTGTAATGAGTCCTCATGTATTCCATGTGAAATTATATTAGTTTGTGATACCCATGCCAACACAGAGGTACTTCATTTTTTATTTTATTCAAGGGCTTTTGTTTTTTGTTTGTCTGTTTATAATTTGTGTTCATTAGTGGCTTGGTTACTAGTTACATGATTTTGCATATGTTTGAATAAATCAGATGTTGTTAATGCCGTGGTTTCTGTTGTATGCTTTGTAGGAAAATATTTATCTTTCTTTCGTGCCTCTGATCTGCTTCAGCTAAATTTGGTTTGGTACTTAACTGTTCGCTGTAGGCATCAGTGACGTATATCCTCATTACAACAGTTTCTTTTCTTTCTGAGCTTTTACACTATCATTCATACCTTCTTGTTGGAAACTTACACGGTTCTATGGTATTTTTGAAATTACTTGAATTCTTGACTCTATGCTTCCTCAGGTACTTTTTCAAATCTTGGTTTATGATTTGTTTCCCCCCTACCAGAGCTCCTTTTCCCCTTCTTAGGGGAAAGTATCTTCTTGTAACAATTCCGTTTTACCAGAGCTTGGGATCTAGTAACCCTGTGTGATATTATGGCAAGGGAGTAAGTACTCAATGGATAGATAATGGTAATGTTAGAGGCTTTTCAGACAATAATGAGAAATAAACTATATTGCCCACATTTTAACAGAATCTGGAGCAAAGTGCTTTAGCATATAGTCTGTATTCCCAGAGGCGTGTGATTCTTACTAGCTTTACCTTTATTATTTTGTGGTAGTTTGTCTGCATAATTAGCTTATCAATGTCACAAGGACTGGAGTAAATACTGATTTTTGTTATAGTTATGTTGAAACAAACACCGTGCTTAAAATGACAGTCCTCCAGTAAACACTCATCAAGAATATACTCTGAGTAAAGCACATTGTTAGGTGTTTTAAAGATTGTATAAGAAATCAGATGTAGCTCCTGACATCCAGAATCTTTTTGGCTGTGTGAGACATTAAACCCTTGTGAAAAGAAACCTCTAAAGTAACATGTATGGCTTTGCCCGGGGAGGGAGGGGTTCCCTAGATACTTAACAGAGGATGCTTTATTACCGGACCCTGAAATTGAAATTCATTCCCTGGTTTAAAATTGTGTGTGTGTATGTGTTTAAAACAACTAGTAGAAATAGTGGCTATATTGAAAGATTGTCCCTAAATAGTTGTGCTATTTACATTTTTTATCTGAACTTTTTTTTATATATTTGTTAATATAAATGCTTACTATTTTCTCCCTAGTTTACTAGAAAATGGTCAGTTTGAAATTGTGACAGGTGGCTGGGTTATGCCCGATGAAGCTTCGCCACATTATTTTTCCTTAATTGACCAACTAATTGAAGGACATCAATGGCTGGAAAAAAATCTAGGTATGTATTGCTGTCTTTTCCCTTTGTGCTAC